TCCCATCGCCTGGGATATCCCTAGTGTTCTACTCTAGTTTGTTGAAAATTATTCATTGAGCATAGATCTTCTCAGTAAGTATTTGGCACATTTAATTTCAAATTGTTATAAAACTTTGTTTCCCCAAAAAATGTTCATCTACAAGACAGGCTATTTAGCTATAATACTTCCATGAAATATTCCTTCATATCAGAATTTATTTTTTCCCCCAAATTTGGAAAAGTATTTAACGAACACTTCCGTGGGGTTTTTTCTGCATCATCATTAAAATCTTACCCTATCCACCTCCATAATGATTATGCAATACATTGTTTTGTTCCTAAGACACACAGAACGCCTCCTTTGAATTGTGCTTGGTCCTGCTGACTTTAGATTTTCCCCTGACATCTTTATTTTGTCTAAATAATCTTCCACAATTCACAGCCTGTATTTTCTCTCAGTTGTTCTCCATTTCCTCTTTCTCCACTTCCTTTCCATTTACTTGGGTTAACTTCTACTTGCTGCCTTCACTGCCTGAACGAACTAGCCAGTCATCCTCATTCTTGGTTTTGGAGTGCTGGTCAGTATGTATTCTTTACATTTGCAATCTTCATTCACATTCCTTTACTTTTTTCCATCAGATTTGGTTTTATTACTGTTCCATGCTGGAACAATCACTGGTCCATAGAGAGCAGTCATCCGACAGCAGTGATTAATTCATCACGTATATAGAGCTCCAAACCAGACTCACTACCTCTTGTTCAGTTCAGTAGCTTTTATGTTAAAATCTATATATTTTAGAACGTTTACGGCTTTTTACTGCTGTCTGCGTGAGATCGGCATCATGCTTTCCCCAGACTGAAGCCCCCCACATACATTTTTCAGTAATGTGTATTTTTCAGACTATGTCACGTTTTCTGCCCAAGAAGGTATTCATACTGATCATTGATATAATCTGTTGCTCTGTAGCACCCCAAGCAGAATTCCTTCCTTGGCCGTGTTAGCATATTGATCCAAATTTCAAGGCAGAGCTGACAGTATCACTATTCAAAATACGGGCTTCCTAAAACAGAACAGTAGCATTTCAAACCTGTTTGTTACAGTCCCTGTGGACAAGACTCCCAGGAAACAGGCCTCTCACTGAAACACTCCCTAGTAATTCCTTTCTGAGGCAAGGACGTGCCCTCGGTGTGCATTCGTGCCTCATTTCAAGGTGGAAACTTTCCTACTAGCTGACAGATACTGCCTGTCCTGGACTCCCCCGTGTTGAACCTATTGATTGCTGCCTCTGGAAGAGAATACTGAGAGGCGTTTTCAAAAACACTGCCTCGTGTTTTCTTCTCCCACACACACGAAATGCGGTTTCTTGCTATTCATTGCACCAATTTTCATTAGGCACTTGCAAGACAACTTGCATTTTCTGCAGGCCGGCCCGTTCTGACACCATCACCACCTCTTCTGCAATTAGCTCGAGCAGTAACTGTCAGTTTTCTTCAGTTTCCTTCTGTCTCTTTAAAATCCCACTCTCTAAAAGAAGGCTCATTTGGTCCTCTTTGCTAAATCAGTTCTCATCATCTAAGTTTCTTCCCCGTGATTCTTCACCTCGCTAGAAAAGGCATCTCCGTTCATACATTACATTTCATTTTTGGAATGAAACTTTTTAAAGACTGGTTTCAAAGCTATTCTTATCTCCCTCTGCAGCAGAGGCAAATTATTTCTAAATTTCCAGCTTCACACATGACTGCGTAAGTTAATGAGCTAACCTTCTCCTTCTGCCAGTCTTTGCTTTAAATTTTGATGTACGTCAGACTGAGAAAATGCTTCTTCCACTCAAATGCCATTCGTTACATTCTATGAAGTTAAAAACTTGGAGAGGTCTAGTTTACCATTTTGTTTATTCCAAGAAAAAAAAAATAAATCACATTTTGATTCCCTGTTGTCATAACAATGATAAATGAGAGACTTCCACCTGGTACTGAACAAGGAACTACCAAAATAGCGGAAACTATTATCCCTAAGCTTCTCAATTTAATGGCTAAGTTTCTGCCCAGGTCTTTCTCCAGTTTACCGCTTCTTGCCTATTTGTCCGAGTTCCTGCTTTGTGTTTAAAAGCCCCGCACAGAGCCTAGTACTGCCAGCAGTATAGAAAGATGGACCGTATTGCAGTAGTTGCTGTAAACAGAGGGCAAGGCACCCAGATAGGCAGAAGCCGATACTAAACTAGGAAATGTTTCTGCCAAACGTTGTGTGACTAGCGCGGCTACGTGCACCACGCCAGCCGATGATAAAAGGCAAACCCTGCTACAAGACGCCTATCTCGTAGAAAAATTGCCGTGCAATAAGCATCGCTAGCTAACGCCGAGTCCCTCCCCCGACCCCTAGGACCGCAGTTAAGCCGAGAGGGCTTGCCAGGGTGCCGAGCGGGGAATCCCCCTCTCCCGAGCCGGTTCCGGCCCGAGCCCACGCACCCGGAGCCCCTCGTACCCGGCACAGCAATTCTTCCAGCCTCAGAGCTATCGCCTTCCACCGCGGTTTCCTAACAGCCAATACTTCCACTGAGTTTTCGCTCTCCCGCCCCCCCCCCCCTCCGCCCTTGCGAGGGGGTGCAAGGGCC